ATTAATCAACAAAATGATTCTGATGATATATCCACTATAGAATTACTTTTATCATCCATAATATCACAGATTGAATTTGAAGATGATGATATAGTATCTGTTCTTGATTCAATTGTGTCGTCAATTGACGATTCAATGATGACCATTGAAGATTCTTCATCATTTTCATCAATCACGTTACCGTATAATGTTGATACGAATATCTTCACTACTCTACCATTATCAACCAAAGAATATTCAATTCAAACACAACGAATATGCCATACTAATTCATCAAAATTATCTGTATGTAGAGATTTAACAACTTCGACACCATCGACTACAATGATTTCAGCTGAACTATCTTGAAATGAAAAATAAGATTTTATTGTTCTTTTCTTTGTGTTTGTTGGCTTACTATTTTTTTGTTATTTATTCCTAACATTATTCCTTTTTTTTTCTTTTGTCTATGCATTTTGATATTTTTTAAAGAACGTGATTGAACAAATAATATCATGTGCTAATCGAACAAACAAACTATTTACTAAGTATTCATTTGTTGATTAATCATTTGAAATCTTAAAAAAAAACGTACTTTTTTGTTTTGTTTTTTGACGAATGGATTTTATTATCAGATGAATTAAACTAGAGTCAACTCAATGACACGATTTTCTTTTTACAAAAAACAAGTTATCATATATTATTTGATAGAGTGCTTTAAGCTATAGTTATTTTTCTATATCGGCTCAAACAATCAAGTGTTCTGTAGAAAATAATTCGAAACGATTACTGCAAAAATTGATGACACTTAAGATAGTAGTGATCCTTTCTCTATCGAATCAGAGCGCTTGCGGTTTTTTAAGAACAATGTTCTTGTTGCATTGTTGGTTTTTGTCCTTTCTGTGGGTCAACGGAACAAAGGTTTTGACGTATTTTTATTGGTAGTATTTATAAAATAGAACTATTACAATTCTATAACACTCGTATAGACCTGTTATTATTTTCACTAGGTTCCACGGAAGTAAGGTGATGTACACCTATCTAATAATTGAAAACAACTCATTATTAGTGAGCAAGAGAAGTAAACGTGTGCATAAGGACTGATTTTTCTATTTTTTCATTAAATTTTTTATCATTTTAATGAAAATCAATCTTGTATTATTTGCTGGAAGGCTTGTCAACCATTCAACAGCCAATCTAATGAAAAAATGAGCAACAAAACAGAATAAAACGCATCGAAGATAATCCAAAAATATTGAAAGATGATTTTCTTCTGCTGTAATCATTTTACTGCTGTTCGTGGTAGAATTTCATATGCAACATATAGTTAACATGCACTTTGAACAAAGATTCTAAATACTTGTTCTTAATTTTTCCAAAATATATCTTAGTCAATGAAAAATAAAGTCAATATTTTTCTAAGAACTTTTGCATCAGTTGTTAATATGACAGAAATAATTTTAGATGAGATGCATATCTAACCAATCTCCTTCACGCGTAATGGATTTCTCTTATCATCAATCATAAATCTGATTAAGAGAATTACTATTGAAGTGTATATGTTACATAAGCTTTGTTTCTATTAAGTAGTCATGGTTTATTTAGTTTTTATTTATCTACTCAATATGCGATATATAAACGTAGATAATGTTAATATTACTTTCAAGTACAATATCATTGAGATATTTCTGTTTAAACATCAAGCTATTGCAGATTCGATATAATTCATCTTCCAGAATCTTCATCGTATTAAGAATGTAATAATGAGTGTTTTATTAGCTTAAAGATATGTCCACGATGTATGTATTTTTCGGATAAATAAAATACATGTCTACCTACGTTAGTTTGTCCATAAGTATACGACTCAATACTAATCCTTGATCAATTTGAATGAATCTTCTCTTTTTTTTTTGTTTTATTTTTCTTGTTGAATGTCATGTGTACAATGACGTATTTAGATTAAATAAAGAAAATGAAGGAGATAGTTGAATAGTATTAGACATTCGAACATAAATACTTACTTGATCATTTCTTAGTTTTGTATATGAAAGATGAGACAGACAATTATGCTTCAAGGTAAGTAACAAAAATAAAAAACAAAAACATATGAAATTTTTAATTCTTTATAGTTTTATTGATTATTCTTACTATTCAATGGAATTTTATTAAAGCTAAAACTATTATGATTGATACGACAACAAAAACTATGACAACAAATCAAACTATTATGAATAAATCAGATACAACAGTTAGTACTATGATAAAAACTAATGACAATTTTATATCGACAAATATGACTCAACCATCTTTATCAGCATCATTATGTGAAAAACGTGATAAACCATATTTTCTTTCACATAAATCTGAAATAAGTAAATTTTATGTATGCGTAAAAGGACAATTATTTTTACTTAGTTGTCCCTCGGGTTATCGATTTGATGGTGAAGTTGATCAATGTATTCGTAAAACTATTCAAGATGAAATCGAAGAAAGTAAATTATTTATTTATAAATTATAGTTTTATATTTTATTGATCGATTTTGTTTTTCTTTTGGGGTAGAGCCAAAAAAACCAATTTTAATTCCACATGAAATTAATTGTGGTTGGTATTATGTTGTACGTGCTGAAACCACAGGGGAACGTATTCTTAATAGTTGTCCAATGCCGCAATTATTTGATATTCCAACACTTGAATGTAAAAATTATACAGAAGTCAAATGTAAAGATCGTTTTGAACCAAAAGATGCTTGTAAGTTGTTTTGAAATGAAAAACTAAATCATTTTTTTTTGTAAATTCTTTTATCAAAAAGGTGATTATCAAATACGTTCATCAGCTCATGCATATCCATGTTCATATTTGCCTAGTTGTAAAAATCGTCCTGATGGTTTATATCCAGATCGTTTACGCGATTGTCGCATGTATTTTCGTTGTACATCTGAACGTAGTTCAGAATCTTATTCATGTACACAAGATGCATTGCCATTCGGTGAACGATTTAGTTTTGAAGAACAACGTTGTTTGCCTGCTCAATATGTTGAATGTATCAATGATCAACAAAAACCTTTAGTTTAAAATTTATGTTAAAAAAAATTTTCATCATTACTCTTTAAATAAATACATCGAATAAGAAAAAAAAAATCTAATGATCTTGCTAGTAAACATTGAATGTTGTTCTTTTCTTGTTCTCTTCTTATTCTGATCACTGCGCATGAATATGTTTTTCAACATAGATTACAGATAGTAGCACAAGTTGTTGCATTCTTGTTAATCCATAAGGAATACTTTCTTTGTTCTTTTTTTATGTGCTACATTCTAGAAGCTCATCTTTATTGTATTTACGCTTTGTAAATATATGTAGTCAAACATGAAGATAATAATGGACCGATAAGGAACGAGATAGATCTTCTTTTCTCGCTATTCCGCCAATTCGCATTAGGAAAAGAGTGCTCCCTATGGGAATCGTTGTTTCTTTACCAATTCTGTTTGCTGTCGTGGTGACATGGCCAATATTCTCTATTTTTTCCGTCTCTCTCTCTCTCTCGCTCCTCCTCCTTCTTTATCGATACTTATTCTATGAGAATATTACGTAGAAATCATTGCAAAATGACCTGTCTTTTGGATATCTGATTGCTGCTCCCTAAACGTCAGTTAATCATTCTCAACGAAACCTTTTTGTCACGTTCATTTTAAATGTGACGCGAGCAATTGATCATGTGGCATTTTGACGTTGTGTCAACGCATACCTTGAATATATATACTATGCAAATCATTATCATAAGGCATATAGATGTAATTTTATATTTATGTTTTTCTTTTTAAGAAAAACCATATATATATATATTGATTACTTGTTAAAACAACACAATCGAAAAAAAAGATATATGTTTGTAAATGAGTGGGTATGTGAAAATAAATGAAGCGAATATTAGCAAGAATGCATCACATAGAAAAATGATAAGAAAATCGAGAACAAAAAAAAGAAAGCAAAGAAAATTTTTTTTTCTTGGAAGCAACTTCGCGTAGCAAAGACTCCCTTAGTCTTTTTTTCTTACTCCTCTTGACTCGGTCTATCCGATCACGTGTTTGAAAGAGAGAGAGAAAGAGAGAGGAAGACAGAGAGAGGGAGAGAGAGAGAGAAAGAAATGAAGTTTTTTTCAATCATGATGCTTGTAATGACGATTTTTTTGTAATAATGATGATGAAATGTTACAAATGAGTATGATTTCCCAAACATTTTTAAAGACTAGAGGGAGTAAATACCAAAAAAAAAAGAAAATAATAATAGAAAATTCATTGCTTGTTGTTTCAAACCTTGAACCTTTTTTTCTTCTTTTTCTTTTTTTGCTGATCGCATGTCTTTTAATTTGTTATTTCCGTCTAAAAGTAAATCATTATCGAACGTAAGTAAACAACATGTTTAACATCTTTTCTATTTTAACTATAACATAAGCATGATATATTCAAAAATTGAATTCTATTGACTTATTCATGCATATGACGACATTATCTTAAATAGGTTTAGTTTTGTTTGTTTCTGTTTAGAATATGTTGGGATGCTTCGTTTCCATAGTTTCATTAGTTTATCTGTGCAATAGACGGATACAAATTTTTTTTGATTATGATAAATGTCGTTGAGACAAATTATATGCATTACATCAAGATATGATTGAAAGAGTTATTTATAAGACATAGTTTTTCTATATTTTATTTTTTGCTCTCGAAAGGGTAAGAAGATAGTTGAACTTGGAATATGCATATCTCTCTAAAAGTCATCCTTGAGTTTATCGCTATTGTTAATGGTATAGTTGTGATGCAATTTTCTGTATCACTATTGACGTCAGATACTTCTTTTTTTTGTTGCTTGTCTCGTACTATCTCTTTCTCTAACGCCTGAATATAGACAAATTATTCTATATTGTCTATTTCTAGTTTCGTCCCAGTCTCGTAGAATATAAGCGCATTTTGTTTTTCCGTTCTTTCTTGAAGATGATGACAGCACTCTTATAAGTCTCTGCCGAAAATGCCAATGAAACGGGGTCATGTGTCAGCTCCTCAAAATACGTTTATTGATACGATTATACGTAAATTCGACTCACAAAGTATGTTAATTTGTTTGTTTGTTTTTTGTTTCAATATGTATATAAATAAATATTTATATAATATCAATTAATTAGATCGTCGTTTTCTTATATCCAATGCTCAATTGGTAAATAAACCAATAATTTATTGTAATGATGCATTTTGCGAATTGATTGGATATTCACGTGCAGATGTAATTCAAAAAGCTTGTACATGTGAGTTTTTATATGGAGCTGAAACAAGTGAAAAAGCTGCCAAACAAATTCGACATGCTTTACAAGGAAGTGATGAAAAAGAAGTTGATATTATTTTATATAAGAACGATGGTAAATTTTCGTTTCCAAATGTGTTTTTTTTTTCAGTTAATATTAGTTAAGAGAATGTGTGATAAGAGGGAAAAGGGAAAAAAAATTGTTTCCGTCTATTTTCATCTAGGCATGAAATTTCGATGTTCAGTACTCATCGCTCCGGTGAAAAATGAATCATGCGATATTATTTTATATATTCTTGAATTCACAGAAAGTAACGATCGTAATAGACAACGACGAATGCGTATGTATTTTAATTTGTTTCTAAAACGAATATTTCATCATCATTGATTTTTATAGCAAAAATTCGTGAATATTCTATTACTCACACTGGTATATGATGTTTATCTTCTGTTACATATCATTGTTCTTGTGATATTCATACTAGGCATACACAAACGTTCATGGTTCCATATGTTAAATCCATTAGCACGACATAAATCAAATCGATCCAATGATACAACTGGAGGTGCAAGTGACTTTGAAGGTTCTGTGTCAGCAGATACAGCTGGTTATATCGGTAAAAGATTAATTCTTGTTTTTTATCTCTGTGTTTTATATAAAGTGCAAAATCATTAGGAAAATAATTAACATCTAGTCACAAGTCATTTCTACATTCGTTTTTCTTTATTTTCTTAATCAGGGATTGTAAATGACATAATTTTACGGAAATAAATATTTATCTATTAGTTTTGTATAAGAATTATGATTGGTTGTATTTATATCTGAAACTGATAATCAAATTAATAATTAATCAAAAAAACAAAGAAAAGTACATGTAGCTTCAAAAAAGATAGATAAACTTATTAATAATAAAATTTAGTTTTCAGAATAATCTTTGTATTTGAAAGAAACAAATGAAAATCTTTACTATCATATGAAATAAGTAAAATATGAAATTTATAAAAATAAATCAAATGACTTCCATGTTATTTATTCTAGCAAAATAGAAATATAACAAAAGAAACGATGATTTTTTTTTTTTTTTTTTGTAAAACATATCTAAGCTTTTGTTTTCAAAAAAAAGAACATGTAATAGTAAAATGTAATACATATGAGTAGTAATAAATAATTAAGAAAATTGTTAATTTTGTTTATTAAATTACTTTCGTTTATCATAGGATTAAATCATAAGAATACAACAACTATTGCTTTGGATGAAACAATTTTATCAACAACAAAAAATTTACCTTTAGATTATAAATCAAGTCGTAAATCATCAACAAGTTCAAATAATTTATTAAAACCTGATAATACTCTATGGAATACAAATATAAATGATGTTGAATTAGTGAAAAGTAAATCTCAAAGTTTAAGTAATATAGCTGGTAATTGCAAAATAAGAATTCTTTTTGTTAGTTTTTAAGAAAACAAATAAAACTCAATATTTTTCTTTTTATTATTATTATAGAAACTGTTCTTAAAAAAGAAAAACAAGAAGCAAAAAATACTAAATGTTCATTTATACCAAATCGTATAGCACAAATCTTATCATTAGGTGAAGATATTGTGCCTGATTTTCATTCACCAGATAGTCGTCGTATACCACGTACAATTATTCTTCATTATTCACCATTTAAAGCTGGTTGGGATTGGTTAATATTATTACTTGTTATATATACTGCTATAGTAACACCATATACAGCAGCTTTTTTAATGCATGAAGATGGACCAAATAAACAACGTTCACGTTCATCACGCGCATTAAATGTTATTGAACTTATTGTTGATGTTATGTTTATTATTGATTTATTGGTTAATTTACGTACAACTTATGTTAAACATAATGAAGAATTAGTAACACGTGCAAGTAAAATTGCAAAACATTATTTAAAAGGATGGTTTTTAATTGATGTAACAGCAGCTATACCATTTGATATTTTATTTTCATTATTACAAACAAATGGTGGTGGTGAATCAACAACATTAATGGGTTTATTAAAAACAGCACGTTTATTAAGATTAGTACGTATAGCAAGAAAATTAGATCGATATTCAGAATATGGTGTTGGAGTTTTAATTTTATTAACGGCTACATTTGCATTAATTGCACATTGGCTTGCTTGTATATGGTATGCTATTGGTCGTCTTGAACGAAGTAATCAAGGTATGTATATCTAACATAATTTCCACAATAAATCGAAACCCTTTAGAAGACAATAGAAAATTTTTGTAACTCTGTCAATATTTATTGACATGTAAAACAAGAGCATATATAAAAGAGAATATAAATTTGATGAAATCTGTCAAATGTTGTACTTAGCTTTTGGCTGTTATTTGATTATCAGAAACTTGAAAGGTACAGTATACAAAATGTATATTAGAAATGTATGTGAACAAATTTTAGTTTTTAGTCACGGTGACTGGAACTACGTTAATCAGAACATAATTCTGTGTTTCATGAAACTTATATCAGTCAATGGAACGTGAGACTCTAAATTTACTGAATCCAATCTGAACTAAAAGTTCAAACAAATAAATGTTCAGAAAAATAACTTAAGATGAAGTTGTGATCAATGTCTGATGATTCTAATCAGTTCAAAATATGTAGTCGAGCTACATTTAACTTCATTTTTAAACATTTATTTGATTGATATTTTGACTCAGAGTGAAATCCTCCATATCCAGAATTTCAAGCTCTATCGACTGATATATGTGTTAAGTAAAACGGTTCTCAGAGTGAATTTTATCAATACTCAAAAAAAATTTTATCCTAAATATTACTAATCTGTACGCCATTTAACAACTATGAATTTATTGTTGGGACAAATCATTATTTTCGCCAAATGCTATGAATCAGCTAATCAACAATATATATATATATATCACAAAATATTGTGATGTGTTCTTATTGATTCAATTTATTCTTCGAAATGTTTTCTTGAAGACTTTATTTTGAAATATTTAAGAGACTATATGCGAAAATTTCTTCATCATCTAACCAAACAGGTTAGCAACTAATAAGAAGCTACGTGTTCATTTCGAAAGTTTGTCACTTATACAGAAAAATTCGTTTTTTCCATCATGTTTCTTTTGGTTGCCTTATATCCTGATAAAGTTTCCTCGTATGATTAACATGTTAATAACTATCAGATTCTATAATGACAGACTTATTGATAAGATAATTTGATTCAATCCTTCTTATCTTTATTCCTTGAAAAAATATCTCAATGAATGATGATTACTTTTCTTCTTCGAAAATATCTTTTATTTGAAAAAGATTAGATAAAACAAAATAAAATTAAAAAAAAGCATATGTTGCCTATTTTATCTTAGGCAATGAAAGATTGATTGGTTGGTTAGCTGAATTAGCTAATCATACACATCAATATTATAATGATTCCGATCCAACATCTGGTCCAACAAAAACATCAAAATATATAACAGCACTTTATTTTACTTTTTCTTCTCTTACATCAGTCGGTTTTGGCAACGTGAGGTTCGCTAAATTTTCTATCCCAAGATTTCTTTTTTTGTTTTTTCTTAAATTTAATCTTTCTCTAGCCCAAATACGAATAGTGAAAAGGGTTTTTCAATAATAATCATGCTCGTAGGATGTGAGTTTATTGTTTTCTTTGTCTTTCGTTTTGCTTTAGTTAAGTTCTTCTCTGTTGTCCATGTTGTGTTGTTTTGGTGTTTGCTTAGCTTATTGTTTTAGGATCACGCATAACATGGCTCGATGAATTAGCACGTATATCTAATCAACCGTATAATTGTTCATCAGTATTGATTTATAACAGAACAAATTTAAGTAAAGAAATATGCCATGGTGGACCTAATCTTCGTTCACAATATATCACTGCTCTTTATTTTACATTTTCATCTCTAACAACAGTCGGATTTGGCAATGTAAGAAAGAAATAGAGCGAGAGAGTGTGTGTGTGTGTATTTTGTATTAAATGAATATTGAATTTTTTCTTTTTATTTATGTATACACAGGTTAGTCCTAATACAGATTCGGAAAAAATTTTTTCCATTTGTATTATGTTAATCGGATGTGAGAGAACGCATGACAATATTTTATTTTTTTAAAGCATGCGATTGTTGTTGCTTGATGTATATTTTTGATAGAGGTTATTGTCATATTGTATAAATTTGTGTTTCTTCTTTAGCTTTGATGTATGCCAGTATATTTGGTAATGTCAGTGCTATTATTCAAAGACTTTATTCGGGTACAGCTCGATACCAAATACAGATGTTAAGGTATGTTCATAAATACTAAATAATATTTAATAATCTCTACGGTATCATTCTATACATAGAGTTAAAGAATTTATTCGTTTTCATCAAATTCCAAATCCACTTCGGCAACGATTAGAAGATTATTTTAATCATGCATGGAATTATACAAAGTAACAGATAATATTCTAGTTCTATTACTTTTTAATGTTTGTTTTTTTTTTGTTATAGTGGTATTGACATGAATATGGTGCTTAAAGGTTTTCCTGAATGTTTACAAGCTGATATTTGTCTTCATTTAAATAGTCAACTACTTAAAAATTGTCCTGCATTTAAAGGTTAATCAATATTTAATTTTTTTTTTTACTTGTATTTATTTAATTATTATTATTACTTTTAGATGCTAGTGAAGGTTGTTTACGAACATTTTCAATGAAATTTAAAACAACACATGCACCACCTGGTGATATAATAACACATCGTGGAGATATATTAACATCATTATATTTTATTTCACGTGGTTCAATTGAAATATTAAAAGATGATAATGTTGTTGCTATTTTAAGTATGTTTGATTTGTAATTATTTTATATTTATTTATTTATTTATTTTGTTAAGGTAAAGATGATATTCTTGGAGAAAATCCTGTATTATATAGTGAACCAGGAAAATCTGCATTTAATGTTCGTGCATTGACATATTGTGATTTACATAAAATTTTACGAGACGATTTACTTGAAGTTATTGATATGTATCCTGAATTTGCACAAAGTTTTTGTCAAAATTTAAAAATTACATTAACATTACGAGATGTAAATTATAGGAATTTTTTTAATTTAAACAATTATTTATTGTTTTCTATATTTAAAGGAAGATCTTGTTGCAAAATCCAATGAATGTCGATCAAAATATCTTCCAAGTCAACAACAATATCGAGGAAGTTAGTATTCACAAAAAAAAAAATAACTATTTTTTTTTCTAATTTTATTTCGTTTGATTTAGGTAGTAATCGAACAGATGATGATAATGCGTCACTGATGGGTCCACAATTCGATGAATATCCTAGTGGAGCGGGTAAAAAAGCTTTTATTGTTTTTAGCTTTAGAAAATTTCTCAAAGTGTAAAGAGCTCTTTGATATTCTATGTTATAAGTTATCGCATTTTATAATGATTTTACTAGAAAGATATTGATTCTTACAAATATAGAACTGATGTATATATTTTCATATTATTCAATAAGATTTCTCGAATGATATGAAATAAATTTTTCAGTTAAATTTAATATTGAAGTTTTTTTTTGAGCCAAATCAAAGTATGAAAGCTGAAGATGAAAATTTCAGCTATATTAGAGCTAGACAAAGTCGTCTCTCTGTTTTTGGGATTGAAGTCGCTCCCAGATAAAAAAGTAATTGTGAATTATGTGAATCATTGAATTTCATTTGTCTTATGTTATGCAAAGCTAGATATGTTCTCAGTCATTGTTTACATATATTTTCTGAATTACTAATGTACTTTTTTTTGTTTAAAAAGTAAAGAAAGCAATGCGTCGTTTTTCATAGAAATGTTTCCGATTTCAAATTTTTCACGTCTAAGAATCGGAATCGGACATATAGATTTCTTTTGGGATCACAATTGTCAATATGATTCCTATCTGGAATTACGCATTTCTACTATTGACATTATATAAACATAACATTAGCTTACAGTTTGACAGCCGAAAGACATGTCATTAAGTATGTTTATAATATCAATTGATTATCATCAATTGTTAGCAATGTGCTTGTTTAATGCAAAGTATAAGAAAAAAATATTTTGTTAGTTTTCTTTTTGGCAATGAAAAAAATCTTTATAGTTGGATAAAAAACTAATTAGGAATAATCTCGAGTATGGCTCTCTTTTATCAGTGTAGATAAGTAACTAGCATTTGTATCCAATCAGCAGACATATTAATATTAATTGTAATGTGTCATCATACTCGTAAAAAGATAATTTTCTCAATAGATGTAAACGTTGATTGATATTCGTATTTCATCAAACGTACTATTGGATTGATTCAGACTTTAAAATTTCTCACATCATCAATGTGTATTTCATCATAGAAAGAAAACTTTATCTAATGAGTTTTTGTCTTCGGACAAAAACAATATATAAAAAACAACAGATTGTTATTCTTATGTTGCACATGAATATTCGATTAGTCTTTTTTGAATTAGAATAATGACTGAAGCTTTTATTATTTAAATATACTTGCTAGAATATTTTATAACAGTTTAAAGAAATCAATAAACATTACAATAGAATAAATATACATAGAACCAAGACAGGATACTGTACATAGAAATTTTACAAGAAATAGAAATGTTTTATATAATTGAAGGCTTTTGTGGATCTGATGTTTTAACTTCAATTTTAGTTGGTATTGTATGTCCATGAGGTGCATTAGAATCATGTGATGCTGATACATTATGAGCAGTACCTGTTGTTGATATATGTACATCACCTTTAGTTTGAAATTCATCAGCTAAAAAGATCGAATTTAATTAAAAATTAATTTTTATTTAAAATTATTTTACCTTTTTGTTGAGCATCATGTTTGACTTCTAATTATTAAAACGAAAAAAAATAAATAAAAGTAATCAAAAAAATAAAAATTCTTTTTTTTTCTTAATAAATTCTCTACCTTCAGCTTTCTTTTTTGTATTCGATGCTAATTCATTAGCTTTATCTTTTGCTTGATCAATATTATGTGAAGCTTGATCTTTTAATTCACCAGCTAAAATAAATTCATCATTATATTAAATTATTAAGAAAAATTTATTAAACCTTTTTGTTGAGCATCATGTTTGACTTCTAAATATTAGAAAAAAAAAATTAAATTAAAATTATTGATAAAATAAATCAATTATTGTTCGTAAAATACCTTCTCCTTTCTTTTTAGCATCAGATGCTACTTCATTAGCTTTATCTTTTGCTTGATCAACTTTCTCTGATGCTTGTTCTTTCAATTCAGCTCCTATTCCATGTAAAATAATTTTCAAATCATGTTCTATTCAATTAAATAGGATTTTTTTAAATACCTTTTTCTTTAGCTTTATCGGCTGCTTCTCCGGCTACATAATAAAATAAAAAAAACATGTTTTCATAATGATTCTGTTTTTGCTTTTGTTTATTAAAATTTACCCTTTGCCGTAGCATCGTTCGCTAATCCGGTAAGACTAAAGCAAAAGAAAAAATATAATACACAATTAGAGGGAAAACAAATTTGCTAAAATAAAAATACCTATGAATAGCTTCTTGTGCTGAGTGCATAGTAGCTGAACCGACTTCAGAAGCTTTTTCAGCAGCCTATGAAATAAACAACAATATATTAAAACTTAGTAATAATAAGAAGTAAAAAATTAACTAACCCATTGTCCAGCAACACTAAGTTTTTCACCAACAAAACTAGCTGCATTAGCAGCAGCTTCTGGAATATTTTGTACAGTTTCAACAACCTATAAATATTAGAAAAAAAATAATACAGCCCATAGTAAACATTTTTAAAAACTCTGAAGGTTATCCAGTATACAGAGGTGATACGGTATTTGAACTTACAGTATGTGAAAGTTCTTGTACTTTTTCAACTGTAACATCTTTAGCATGAATAGCTGTTCCAATGATAATATTTGTCGTACTTTCAACATTATCTTTAACTTCATCAGCTTTCTTTGAAGCATCATCAGCTAATTGAGCACCTAAAAATAAAATTAATATAAATAAATTTGTTTGAAAAATTAAATAAATTCTATATACCAGCTTCTTTTGTTTGTTCTATTTTTTCATTCACTTTTGGTTTTATCTCATCAACTTTTTTTTGTGCAGCATCTTTAACTTCACCAGCTTTTTTTGAAACATCATCAGCTACTTGAGCACCTAAAGAAAACAAAAATAAAGATTCAATGAATAATTTGTCTAATATATAGATTTTAGAATTAGTGTTATTCGTATTGACGATATGTACCTGTTTGTTTAGTATCATTAATAGTTTCATCAACTTTAGGTTTTATTTCATCAGCTTTTTTATTAGCAGCATCCTTTACTTCATTCAACTTATCTTTAGCTGCATCGGCAGCTTCACCAGCCTTCTCTTTCATTTCAGCACCTGATAGTTAAAATTAGATATAGACCTCAATAGTTAGGAGATAGTCTATTTTTTTAATACCTTTTTGTTCTGCTTGATGTTTCAATTCAGCTCCTTTTTGTTCTGCTTGATGTTTCAATTCAGCTCCTTTTTGCTGAGCATCATGTTTTATTTGTTCTTCCGATTTTTGCTCTATTAGAAGAAAAAAAGAATAAAAATTCATTGAAAATAAATATTTACAAAAAGAAACCCTATTAAATCAGTTATTGAGATTATTTTTCAGATATTTATTCAAATAAAATTCAAGGTATAAACTAAAATATGCATGTATCGAGTCGAAACGTGGAGAGTTCAATAAGTTCGAATTCAAATTTAGTTGCAGTTATTTTTAGTTAATTAATAGAAATAACTAGGAACAAACTAAAAGAAAAAATTTCATGGTTGATTACGAATAGAGTTACAAACAGTTGAATACATGACGAAAAAACTGAAAGATTTCAAACATCCTAAACAATCAATCAACCATATTTCAAAATACTCGAATTTGATCAAAACTCAAGGTTCGTCTATGAGTATTCAGACATCACTAGAAATATTTAGGTAATCGTCTAAATATTCAACACTGTCTGAAGCAATTTAATCATTTCTGAACATCGAACTAGAATTCGTCTTAGGAACATGCCTGCCTAATCTGAACTGACATATTCCTATTGAAAAATTTGACTTTTGCTTACCATGAGTATGAGTTCTCGTATCATGAGCATTAGAAGCATTTGCATGTTGATTATAATTATTATTTGACATCGTTGTGTGCGTATATTAATAAGAAAGTAATATCTGAAAGTAATTAAATATACTACATTAATATTGCTCGCTCATACTCTTTCTCTAAGTCCAAGCACATGTAATCGACATAACAAATCAATGCGTACACATCGATATTTACTCGTATTTATATACTATCATTATTTTTAAACGAAACAATGTATATTAGTCAGTCGGACAGAGTTTATTCTAGATTGAATTGAATCATACTTCTAGAATAGAAGAGAGAAAAAAAAACAAGATTTTTATGTAGCAGCTTAAATTCATTACTATTCGCATTTTTTTTTCTTTTTCTTCTTCTTCTTCTCGACCTCTCGTTTACAAATACCACTACGCATAGACTACACTCAACAACCTTCCGAATGAAGAGAAGAAAAAGTTTTAGCTCGACAAAGAAAAGGGGAAGAAAGGAGACAAACGTTATTACCACGTGACGATTAAGTCAGAGAGTTAAAATCAATACAACTAGAATATTCTTTTTTTCTCCATTCGAAATGATCATGACAACATTCTGTTTCATCCATGGCTCACTATTTCTTGTTTTCTTGCATTCCTTTTTTCTTATATTTTTGACTTGTTGTGTCGTCCGTTATTTATATCTTGTGCTTTAGTCATAAAAAAAAAGCCAACGACGTAATGCGCGCATATACTCCCTAAACTCATAGGAAATGTAAAAATATTAAGTAAAAATGTAATGTGTATGTGTAACGTGTCTTTATTTGCAAAGTAAATAGAAAAAAATTGAAAAAAAAAAAAGAAAAGACGACATTTTTATTGTTAAACTATATTCTAATTAACAACCTTGAAAATTAGGTTGCCGTTTTTCTCGAAAAGCACTTCTTCCTTCATTAATATCATTGGAATTTTGACATGCATCAATTGCTGTTTTTATAGCTAAATGATCATTTCCATTTTCAATCATTACTTTAATTGAACGTACAGATAATGGAGCATTACATGATATTCTTTGAGCTAAATCCAATACATATTGATCTAAATTATCATGATTATCACATATATATTGAATTAATCCTATAGAATAAGCTTGTTGAGCAGATATTCGATCACCTGTATAAAGTATCATTTTAGCATGAGATTCACCAACTAATTTGATTAAACGATCAATTATATCTTTTGGACATGATAAACCTAATTTAACAGCTGGTATACTAAAAGAAG